ATATACATAGTCCTTTAGTATATAGTATCCCAATCAAAGCCACATGGGGAACCTCGTGCTTTTCAGGCCCCTGGGCTCAATAAAAGGACCTGTGGGTGCACAAGGATCTGAAGACACCAGTTCACTTAATGCTTGGGGCAGCCAACAAATGCTTTTTGAAAGGTTTTTGGACAATGGACTAGCCAGGGCACCTTCAACAAAGGAGAGCGAGGAACCCTCACCAGCTAACTTGAGCTTGGGACTCGCTCAGCTTGCGCTAACAGTACTCCTGGCTGGTGACATAGAGTTAATCCCTTGCCCAACAGCGATAAATGGTGATGCTGGTGTCAACACACAGCAATCACTCTTTGAACATGTGGTGCAGCTACCCCAGCACATAGCAACAGCTAGCGAAGGGCTAGTGAATATGGGTGCACTCTCCCCACCATTGCCCCTCTGTGTTGCCCCAAGTGCTCTTGATCAAGATAAACCAATGAAGCAGAAAAATAGGGCTGTTATTAAACATCATAAATACAGGTTACTTCAAACTCTGAACCACGCTCATTTTGTATGGGACATCAACGCTAAACCTAAGGGTTTTCTTGGCAGACACTTGAATATACGAAGCATTGTATCCAAATGTGATCAAGTATATTAAATGATTCAAACTTACATTATCTTTGTATCTCCGAGACATGGCTACACACCAACTCTCCAACAGCAGGGCTAAATGTACCGGGCTACAATATTTTTTCGAAAAGACAGGTCAGAGGGCAGAGGCGGTGGGGTGATGTTTTATGTTAGGGACCACTTAAAGTGTAAACAAATAACATGGTCAAGTGTAACTAATCTAGAATGTATCGGCCTCACTATTACCCTCTCACAGCAAATGACATTTACACTAATTGGAATTTACAGACCTCCGTAGGCTCCTAGTGGATTCTATGAGGAATTGAAGGCCATTTTAAAAGAATGCAATTTTTAAAATGAGGTTGGTTTACTTGGTGATTTCAGTGTTAACTGGAATGATAAAACCAATCGGAAGCATTTAAAACTCTTAGCAAATAGCTTTGAATTAACACAACTTATAAAGGGACCTACACAAATAAGCAGCTCTTCTGAAACATATAGATTTGGTTTTCACCAACAAAGCTGATAGAATACAAAAAATCTATAACATGGTCACCGGCCTGTCAGACCATAATACGATCCTTTTTTCAAGAAAACTGACAAAAATTAGATTCACTTGTCTCCCAGGTAAACGATCTGAGCAATTGAGAATTCCCAAGGGTGAGATACAAAATGTAGTAAAAGCCTTGAATGACATTATTTGGTCTGACCATCTCACCTATGATCATGTTTTCATGACTGTTATTCAGGACACAATGTATGGCTTTATGAAAATGTGTAAATCAAAACCATGAAAAAAGGATAATCTACCTTGGCTGAATAGTGAAATATGGTCACTGATGAAACAGTGGAACCATGCCCTTAAAATGGCCATCAAGACAAAAACTGCTCATAATAGGAAAATATTCACTACACTCAGAAACAAAGTCACAAAGGAAATAAGAAATGCAAAGGCACATTTCTTCATTAAAGACATGCTAGGGGCAATGCTAAGGAAGTATGGACAAACAACGAAATTAACTGGAAATCATTTCACAAATAGGAGCATCAGGGAGTTGCAATTAGATAATAATGTAACCCATGATCAAAATGCAATAGTAACTGCTCTTAACACCTATTTTATAGACTCTGTAAGAAACTTGTCCCTTAGCTCCACTTCCTGCCCACAAATCATGCCTCTAATGCCTCTGAATAGCGGTACTCCAGTCTTCACATTACATGAAATATCACAGATAAATGTTGACAGGATTATCTGTGGACACTATTTTTGTGAAAGCCAATAAACAATCATTCATTGCTCCACTTACCAGTATAATCAATCAGACCATAAATTAAGGTGTTGTAAAGCTCTTATTTTGTTGACCTTTTTCTTCCTTCCTGTCTCACTTCCTTATTGCTCACTGGGGTGGTTTCTAGCTTGTCACCTCATTTCCTTGATTAAGTTCACCTGTTTACTCCCCTATTTAAGGCTGCACTGCCCTTCACTCTTTATTTTCACCTTCACATGGGGTGGCAAACCAGGGGCCTGTATCACGAAGCAGGATTAATGTCTTAGCGAGGTAACTTCAGGGTTAACCCTGGGTTTTCGGTCTCGCGAAGCCGGTTCAGTTCTTATCGGGGTAGATCACCATGGTAACTTACTCTGAACGGCTATCCTGCTCCAGAGCAGGGGCCTGTATCACGAAGCGAGATCAACCTTTCCAGGGTTACCCAGACCTATCCTGGGTTGACTAACCCTAACAATGGCAATCAGGATAATCGGTATCACAACGCTGGATATCAACTCGGTAAATCAACCCAGGGTTGCTTTATCAAGAACCGTGAACGCGCACGCAGCGGACCAATCACAATCATGAGAGAAGCGCAGCATCACTGAGCGTCACTGAGCGTCCTCACAGAGCGCCGTATGTGAGGGAAAAAAAAGTATTTCTCATGAGGATCAGAGATTAATTCTACTAAAATATGAGGAGAAAAGCAACATTACAGAAAAGGCCAACACCGTGGCAGCTGCAGGAGGAGGAAACATGCGTGGCAACGTATAACGGGATGAATAATGTTCAGTTTTAGTTTAGATTAGTTTATTTGCACATAATGTTAAAAACAGACAGTATAAACTTTACAAGATTAAAAAAAGAAAAGTGCCGGAGAGGTTAGAAGCCACTAAAAGCTTATCAAAGAAATTCCCGTCAAAACATCAATGAAATCACATAATAGAGAAGAAAAAAAAACCGGGTCAGGAAAGAAGAAATAGAGGAGGAGAGAGGGAAAAATCAAGACAAAACAAGGTAGCAAATAAAATTATGTGTAGGTTAAACTACTCATCACTGGTTCAAGCAGCTACAGTACCTGTACCTGTACATCTGACACTGATCACACCCTTGAATCCCATGAAATCAATGCTGCGCAGATGAATTGCGTGTATTACAATTATCGTCTAACATCATTGCGTCTGATAAATTGGTCTTCTTTGTCATAACGTTATATATGCTACAATAAAACTTAAAGCTGCCGCCACAATTAAATCATATCAACACCAAATTGATAGTCTGAATACAATCATCCTGATATTGAGCTGCGTTAGAAATTAACAGCTGCGCAAAAATATACCTAGTCTCCCTCTTTAAAAAACAAAAAGGAAAATCCCTCAAACACCATGAAATGTAGACATGATAGGCTACTTTCCACATTTCCAGCAGCAAAGCTGTCAATTAGGCCCATTATGTTTAACAGAGATCATTTCCTCCAACAAAACAAAATGTTGGCACTAATTAATGGTGCTATTAAGTGTCCGCAAATGATCAGTTTCTTTCTTATGAAGGGGTGGGATGAAATTTTGCCTTCTTTCCACTCTTGTTTGAACAATCTTTTCATTGTCTGTTGTTGTTGCTTTCTTTTCTTTTTTTAATGTTCAAAATAAACTTTCAAATCAAAATAAATCAAATGAATTAAACTTCCCGTCATGACTGGGCTGCATTTCTGTCAGCGGAGTCATTTTTTTCCGAACAGCTGATTGGCCAGTGGGTGGTGCTTTTTATAGGATCAGATGTTGCTTTTCTCCTCCTCATATTTTAGTAGAATTAATCTCTGATCCTCACAAGAAATACTTTTTTCCCTCACATACGGCTCTGTGAGGATGCTCAGTGAGGACGCTCAGTGACGCTCAGTGATGCTGCGCTTCTCTCATGATTGTGATTTGTCCGCTGCGTGCGCGTTCACGGCTCTTGATAAAGCAACCCTGGGTTGAAATACTGAGTTGATATCCAGCGTCATGATACCGATTATCCTGATTGCCATTGTTAGGGTTAGTCAACCCAGGATAGGTCTGGGTAACCCTGGGAAGGTTGATCTCGCTTCGTGATACAGGCCCCTGGTGAGTGTCTTTGTTTGTTTCCTTAGTTCAAAAGATGAGACATGAGGCAAATTTATGTTTAGTTTTAATCTTATGTTTGCTTTCTTTCAGATCCATGTGTATCTGTTTCCCCCCTTTTCATATTCACTGGATGTTGAGAATAAACCACCTTAAATGACCTACGTCTCTTCTCCTGCTGTACATTTTGACCAATGTTCTGTGACGATAGCCACCACTAGAATAAGTTAACCTCCTCCTTTACAGAAGGGGTTTTTCCAAATTCCTGGAAATCTGCAGTTATTACACCAATTTTCAAATCAGATAAACCCAACATCAATTAGTAACTATAGGCCCATAAGCATTCTACCAACAGTTTCCAAAATTGCTGAGAAATGGACTGCAGAACAACTCATTAAGCACGTGAACAATAGTCCATACACACTAAATCCAATGCAATTTGGCTTCAGAAAAAAACTCCACAGAGACAGCAGTTTGTTTTTTTCTGGAAGATGTAAAATCAAAGATTGATGCAGGAGGAGATATAGGAGCTGTGTTTTTAGAATTTAAAAAGGCATTCGATACGGTAAATCATGAGACCTTGTTGACTAAGCTGTCTTATTTTAACT